GCAACATATATATATATATATATATACGAATGTTTTGTTTATTATATAGAATAATCGATAATAATACTTTTTATTATTTCTATTCGATATTGCTATAAAACGTGTTTAAAATTGCAAAATGCCAAAAGGAAGACAGACAATTTTTCGCGAACACTCCGTTTAAAAAGTAATAATATTTTTTAACAGTAATCTTGATTTTGATGTTGGTTTACAGAAAGAAATCACAATCTTGCCGCAGTTTTCCTGGATGAAACTACAGATCAAGGTGAGATATCCAATCTAACCTAACCTAACCTAACCTACTCCGTTCTTGAAAACTTTGTGGTTACGCTATACCTGATACTTTACATTCAAGGTACAGGCAGATTCTTACAACATGAGCAATGGAAATTGACTCAATCATCCCACCAAGCAGATTTGAAACAGTGGTCGGCGATTATATCAATACAATGAAGAGGAATTTTATTAATAATGCTTAGATCCCTAATATGTTGTAAATTCCAAGTTTACAAGTTAACAAAAAGAAACTATTAATTGACAATTTCTCTTTGTTTACATGTTTTTGTGTCTCTGCAGTTCTCCAGAGGGGTATAAATCAAAATTGTAATGATATATATATATGCGACAATCTGACCGCATTTCCTCTTAAGCTAAAAGAATCGATCTTTCAGTAGTTTATGCAAGCATTATTTTTCTTTAAACAAACCATTTTAAACGACACGTCCAGTTCACAACGGTACCCTTGAAAGCTTGGTCTTATCAAGAATGCGTGAAATATATATACATCATCTCCACCTTGAAACTTGATTGTTTACAATTGTGGTTTCTCAATAATTTGACTGCCGCATTTCTGCTTCAGCAACTTTACGGAGAAAAATGTCAGAATTAGACACTTTTAAGATAGAAAACGAGTTTTCCAAATTTTTGATCTAATAAAGGTTAAAGGGTCCTGAGTTCCCTCCATCAATTTTTTTACCCCATCCCCTAAAATTTTGGTTGAATATTGACTAATTGATGGCATATTCTAGCGGTTCCCAACTTTGGTTTGGTTTGGTGGTGAACAGCACAGCTTCCATGATAACTGTTTGGCTAAATAAGAAAGAAATTATGCAAAAGATAGTCCAGGGTCCATTGTCTGCTAGAACTCCAATGTACTGCATAACACCTCACCCAGAAAATTACATCGAAACTCGTCTATGATCCATCCATTTTATTATATATCCATGTGTAAAATAGTGTAACAAAAAAAGTTATCACAATAAAGTTTCGATAAATCGTAACATAAGAAAAGTTGCATTTTAGTAAAATTCCTAAGCGTAATTAAAAGAGTTTATATTGGGAAAGTAAAGATAAAACGTAACGTTTATAAAAAATATTCTTTGCACTGAAATGCATTGCAACGTGCAGAACTATGCCTAAATGACGTTTTAAACAAAACCTTCGTCACCTTTTAGTTTTCCACCCGAGTGAAAGTGTAAGTGTCTCTAAAAACATTTACCTTGCATGAAAGTGGAACGTTAAAAAATTGTGGTTATATTACTAAAGCAACGTTGGGAAAGTTGTTTAAAACAGGAAATGGAAAAGCGTAACGGAGCTTACTGTTGTTTCACTAACATTTACTAAAGCTTAACGTTGTATAAGGTATTCAAGTGCAAAAAATTCATTACGTAACATTACTCTATGCCATAAAATGGCATAATGTGCAACGTAACGTTTCAAACGTTTATACTTTTGATGAACACTATAGTAACGAAAGCTAAAATCTAGAAAAATCAAAACGTTGACATCTCTAGCATGTAATGTCTCTGCAAGTTGAACAGTAAACACGGACAAGTTTGTTTTGTTTGTTTACAGGCCTGTTTGTGTCATAGAAATTTAAAAAAAATTTCTTGTCTAAAAGTGTGTAACATAATTCATCTATAACTGGCCAAACGGCTGAACCAAATTGGCTGAAATTGTTTGAGGAAACACGTAAGTATTTTTTGTTCAAAACTAAATTTTTTTGCAATGCTAACTTGTTCTCCCTAAGTGTTTTTTAGAATTCTACGGGGAACGCCCGGGCCCTTTAGCTCGTTAAAAATATTCTCTATCTAACAAATAATTAATTTGTGGAATTGAATTGTTGAATCCTCCAGCTCCAGTGTTTACATGTTGTAAATAAACAAAGTTCTAACTAGTTGTAATACTGATTGTCAACCAGTCCTGATTCAACACAAAATTAAAACAAATTTTTGTGAATTTTTAACAGGATTGAATAAAGAGAAGGCCTGGGAAGGTAGAGATAGAAAACAAGTTTTAAATTTACGACTAAAAAGGAAGGAATAGAAAGGTAACACAAGAATATAAGTAATGAGAAAGGGCTAGAACAGAAGAACTTGAAGGAAATATTAATAATGGAAAAACTATGAATGATATTTTAAAAATGAATGACAGAAATTGAGGATTGGAAAATTAGATAGGTAAAACTTGAAAATAATTACTTGAATGTAAGTATCTAAAATGGAAGTGTGAGAATAGAAGCACTAGAAAGAAAGGAATGAAAATCTTAGAAAGAAAGGACTACATGCATGAAACAGATGAGCTAAAGAGAAAGGAGGTATTTATAGGAAATGAAAGAGGAAAAAAACTAGAATGGAAGGAATAGAATAAAAGAACCAGAATGAAAGGACTAGAATGGAAGGACTAGATTGGAAGGAGTAGAAAGGAAGGACTAGAATGGAAGGACTGAATGGAAGGACTAGAATAAAAGGACTGAAATAAAAACTAGAATGGAAGGACTAGAAAGGAAGGAGTAGACTTGAAGGACTAGAATGAAAGGACTAGAATGGAAGGACTGAATGGAAGGACTAGAATAAAGGGTTGGAATAAAAGAACTTGAATGGAAGGACTAGAGTAGAAGGACTAGAATGGAAGGACTAGACTGGAAGGACTAGAATGGAAGGACTAAAATGGAAGGACTACCATGAAAATACTAAGATAAAAAAGAAATTAAGAGGACTAGAAAGAACTAGGAATTACTAGAGAGGACTAGAAAGGATTATAACGGACTAGAAAGGACTAGAAAGAACTACAAACGATTAGAAAGGAAAAGAAAGGAATAGAAAGGAATATAAAATAAGGAAAAGAAATAGAAAGGAACAGAAAAGACTACAAAGGACTGGGAAGGACTAGAAAAGGAAAATAAAGTACGAGAAAGACGCAAGTTCTTGAAATATTACTGTATTACTGTAAACTATACCAGAAATTGGATTGTTGTTTATACTGGTATTTCGACATCGATCCAATCTGATAAACGAAAAATTAGTTTTTTAAAAGAATGAAAAAACTAGTTTCAAAATAGGAAAAATATCATGTAGAGTTCTGTTAAGTTTAAATTTTAAACCTTCATTTTTCAGAATAGAATGGACTTTTTGATGCATAATGTCGTCTTTATTTCAACACTATTATTTTTAACACTTTTATTAAATAATCAAAGGAAAAATTGAGAATCTTATTTACAGTAAAAGTAACATGAAGAACAATTTAAAGGGAAATGGGCACATTTCCCTCAAGTGACGCACATTTTCAACAGGGATTCACACCTTCATTTTTGGAACATTTTCATGAGATTTTGCATAAAAGTCATATTAGTGATTTACTCTAGGACTGTATTTTCAAAGAGTAAAAAATTTAAAATACAACAATATTTTTCCCGCATTTTCTAAACTTTTTTGATTTTGTTACATATGGGGTACCTTGTCTAATTATAATCGGAGATTTCATTTTTGTCCTTTAAAATGGGAATGACTGAATACTTTTCGAATGCATTGCATTTTTACCGATATTTATAAATTCTTTTTCTGGGGTTCTTTAAATAAAGTTTCATATTCCTCCAACCTGTATATCCTACTTCTTATATACAGATTCATATTTCTCCAACCTGTATATCCTATATCTTGGGTTCTTTATATACAGGTTCATATTCCTCCAACCTGTATATCCTATATCTTGGGTTCTTTATATACAGGTTCATATTCCTCCAACCTATATCCTATATCTTGGGTTCTTTATATACAGGTTCATATTCCTCCAACCTATATATCCTATATCTTGGGTTCTTTATATACAGGTTCATATTCCTCCAACCTGTATATCCTATATCTTGGGTTCTTTATATAAAGGTTCATATTCTTCCAACCTGTATATCCTATATCTTGGGTTCTTTATATACAGGTTCATATTCTTCCAACCTGTATATCCTATATCTTGGGTTCTTTATATACAGGTTCATATTCCTATATCCTATATCTTGGGTTCTTTGTATACAGGTTCATATTCCTCCAACCTGTATATCCTACTTCTTTATATACAGGTTCATAATCCTCCAACCTGTATAGCCTATATCTTGGGTTCTTTATATACAGGTTCATAATCCTCCAATATACAGGTTCATAATCCTCCAATATAAAGGTTTATAATCCTCCAACCTGTATATCCTACTTCTTGGGATCTATAGGTGTGTATCCATGTATTGCCTGTGGAACCTATAAAAAACCCTGCTCCTTTGGTTCTATGGTCTTTAGTATTATTCCATCCAATTCAACCTATAGACCCTGCTGTTGGTAATTATTCATTATACCTTGATAATTTGAAATGAATGAGTTCTGATATATTAATGAGTTTTGATAATTGATTTTAAATGAATGAGTTCTGATATATTACTGAGTTCCGATAATTAATTTGAAATGAATGAGTTCTGATATATTAATGAGTTTGATAATTGATTTGAAATGAATGAGTTCTGATATATTAATGAGTTTTGATAATTAATTTGAAATGAATGAGTTCTGATATATAAATGAGTTTTGATAATTGATTTTAAATGAATGAGTTCTGATATAATAATGAGTTTTGATAATTGATTTTAAATGAATGAGTTCTAATATATTAATGAGTTTTGATAATTAATTTTAAATGAATGAGTTCTGATATATTAATGAGTTTTGATAATTAATTTTAAATGAATGAGTTCTGATATATTAATGAGTT